AAATTATTTTTGGGGATGTTTGGAAAATATATACCTGCATGTGGGGCAGTTCTAATATGATTTTTGTAGTAGTTTATGTTTGGAAAAGTATATAGCTAATGCACATGGTCACATTGATTGTAATTAATAAACATAATAAAATTTGATTTTGACTATGTATTGACCGAATAAGCAAAGTAAAACTATATAAACTACAGGGGCCCCCCCGCATACGACCTTAATTTGTGCAAGAGGGCTGGTTTTAGCAAAATGTTTGGATGCAAATGAATTTTCCCCATAAGAAATAAGGAAAATCAAATTAAAATCCTGCAAGACCCCCAAAAAAGATAAAAAAAAAAAATTTTACCCATGAAATATAATTTTCCTAACACAAAGAAAAGGATAATGCCAATAGTACAGTATACAGCAAAATTTAATATTTGCATGCTCTACAAATGAAGAAAAAATGACACTTCCCTTTATTGAAGATGCAGCAATGACGATGAGACACTGTGCCCTGGAGTGCCTTTTCCTCCTGATTACTTAGGGTCCTTTTTGGGCATTTTTCCCAGAAATCCCTTATCACACTGTGTATGCCACTACGATTCTTAAATCTCTCAAACCAACCCTTGCTGGCTTTAAATTCCCCAATATGAGCACTGTTCCAGATTTTTCCCTGTTCACCTGGGGGGTTATCGACTGGTGGGGTTGCATCCTGGGGGGACAAGATTAAGGCCCAAAGGGAAAAAGTTAGCTTCGATGACAATGACTTTTTTTTTGGGTTTTCCTGGGTGGCAAAACCTCTGGGGAATTGTTTCTTGGTATTCCAAAAGCCCACCAACAACGGTGTACAGCAGCAGCAGCACTGCGGTTACAGCACAACAAAGGTTACGCAGAACAGACGATGTACAGCACACAGACGTGTAACAGCAGCCAGACGAGCAAACAGCGCACAGACATGCTACAGCGCAGCGACATCACAGCAGCAGAGACATGCTACAGCAGTAACAACGATGCTACAGCAGCAGCAGACATGCTACACACCAGAGATGCCCCACAGCGCAGCAGATGGGACACAGCAGCAGCAGCAGCGACAGGCAGCACCTGACAGTGCAGAGCAGCTGACGGTTCAGCAGCAGCTGTACCACCAATGTAGCGATGGTTTATTGGGTTTTTTATACAACCTGCCAGCTCGGAGACACGCACTCCACTTTCATATTATCAAAGATCTTTTCTTATCTCTATAGTAATTTTCCCCTTATTTCTGTAGGTTTGGGACTAAAGCTTTCTTGGGGGCCCCTGGTCACTTTTTTTCCAAAAAAATCACCAAAAAAACCCGTAAAAATACGAAATGTTCCGATTGATGCTTGGGTGTTACCGCGGGGGGCTGGCGGTAAAAAATGCCCCCGGCAACAGTGGGGGGCTGGCCGCACATGGACGCGTTGGACGAAGGGCGGTGGGGGTTTTTGGGCGGGATCGAGGCAAAATTTTTTCAAAAAAGCGTGCGGGGATGCAGATTTTACTATCGATGCGTCCCCGGATACGGGGGTCCCCCGAATAAGATAAATTTTCACAAATTTAAAAAAAGCACCCAAACCCTTGTAATTGCACTAAGGTCTAATATAAGTTCTTACATTTAATCTTGCCCCTTCCATTAAGTTTAAAGCTGAGTTGGAATATAATTCCTTGCTTCCTTTCCTTCATGTTAATATCCACTTCTCAAATACAGGTTTTGCTTTATCTTTGTACTGCAAACATATGCACAGTGGCATGTACATTCACTACTTTTCTTATCACACTTTCTCCATCAAGAAAGTGTTCTTATTTCCCTCTTTCTCCGTGCTCTCCACATTTCTGATCCTCAGTTCCTTGAATCAGAAATTTCCTCTCTTCATAATTAATTTTCCCATTTTGGCTACCCTTCCCATTTCATGGATGCTGCCTTCTCACATGCTAAATGGACTTTCTTCTCTCTCAAACTCTTTATTCCTAGTAACTCTCCTGTCCTCTGCCTTCTCTATATTTCCAGCATTTCTAATCTCAACTACTCACCACTCTTTGCATCAATCTAGTTTATACCTCTCCTCCCTCTATAGATGCTCATGGTGTATACTCATTTTCTTGTTCTTCCTGTCCTCTTCAGTACTTTGGAGAAACTGGCTGATCTCTTTCTGACAGACTCAAGGAGCACAAAAACAGTGTTAGGCTTGCCGACACGAACAATGTTCTTTTCTGTCATGTCAGAGATCACAGTCATCTTATTGCCTGATCTTCTGTTAAAACGGACTTCCCTACTTTTAAAACTTTCACATCCTGTCGGGTTTTGAATCCTCCCTATACATAACTTTCCTTGTATGAATCTAAGTCCTGGCTTTGTCTCTGTAGATGCCTTCCTCTCCCATTACATTGTAAAATGCTCCAAACTTCAGAACACCTGTGGCTTAACCTGAATCCTTTTTTTTCTTCTCCCTCTTCCCTTTTTTCTCCTTTTTTCATATTTAGATCACCAAACCGCAATTACTCTCTCATTTGGTTCAAAAGTTCCGACATATTTGCTTAACATCTCCCAAAATCTTTCTCTCTCCTCTACACTCCTCTCTTCTCCAGGTGCAAACACACTTAATATGACCCACTTGACACATCCAACCTTTATTTTAATCCACATAATCCTTGAATTTATACATTTATTTTTCCCTCTCTCCTTACATAACTGATCCTTCAACATTTATTATTACCCATCCTTAGCTCAAACTCTCTCAGACTCCTGACTTAATCCCATTTGTTTCTCTCCACTGAAACTCGCCTACCTCCTTCAGCTGTGTTTCACTTAGAGCTAGGACATCCAACTTCTTTTCATTCATAACAGCAATCATCTCTTTTCTTATTTATCTGCACTACATCCATGCACATTCAAGCATCCCAATTTTATAGAGATTTTTCGTCTTCTGTTTTTAGTATTTTCTGCAGGAGAAGGGGGTTTCTAGCCCATTGCTCCGGGATTTTTGTCACCTCTTAAAACACACATGGCTTATGGCGAAAGATTCTTTTCCACTTCCCCATGGAGAAGAGAGGAAATAAAGGAGAAAAAGAACTATTAAGAAAAATAAGAAAAATCAAGGTGTTTTATGTATGTACAATGGGCCCCACTTATGCAGCAGGTTAGTTTCCAGCTACTGCCATAAAGCAGAAATCACTGTAAGTGGAACTCCCTGTTTTTTTCCAATTTTAAATGCATATAAAGCTAGATAACAGGCTTACACAACACTATTAATTAGCAAAAGAACTATGCATTAAAAAAAACCCGTAAAAGTAAAATACATACACACTACACTTGTTGCTTACTTTTTTTTTTTTTTTAACAAACCGGCCATATCCCCCCAAAAGGGAGGGGGACCCAAAAAAGAAGAAAAAAAGTTTCTCTTTTAAAAATTTAGTAATTTATACAGGAGAAGGGGTTACTAGCCCCTTGCTCCCGGCATTTTAAGTCACCTCTTTTCAACATGCATAGCTTATGGGGAAGAATTCTGTTCCACTTCCCCATGGAGAAAGAGGAAATAAACAAGAACAAGAACTAGTAAGAAAATAAAGAAAACCCAGAGGGGTGTGTATATATATATCTTGTACATGTATGTGTAGTGTGACCTAAGTGTAAGTAGAAGTAGCAAGACGTACCTGAAACCTTGCATGTTTATGAGAAAAAAAAATGGACACCACAATCCTACCATCATGTAAAGCAAATTTCAATTACCCCTCACTTGGCAGGACAGTAGTACCTCCCTTGGCAGTTGTTGTCTGGGAGCTTACTACCTAGACTTGTTACTTCTTCTTTCAACAAAACCAGCCATATCCCCCCGACGTGGGGGTGGCCCAAAAGGAAAAACGGAAGTTTCTCCTTTTACATTTAGTAATATATCAGGAGAAGGGGGTTGCTAGCCCCTTGCTCTCGGCATTTTAGTCCCTCTTACAACACGCATGCTTAGGGGGGAAAATTCTGTCCACTTCCCCATGGAGGTAAGAGGAAAAGAAATAAGAACAAGAACTAGAAAGAAAAATAGAAGAAAACCCAGAAGGGTGTGTATGTAATCTTGTACATTATGTGTATTTGGACCAAAGTGAAAAGTAGAAGTAAAAGACATCCCGAAACCTTGCATGTTTATGAGACAGAAAAATGAACACCAAAATCCCTGTAAAACATTTACGGTTTTTCCGTTTTACACTATTGGAGGACGGTAGTCCCTCCCTGGGCATTTTGCTGTCTACCAACCTACTACCAGGCTTGTTTTCCCCTAGAATATAATAGAATGTAAAAGGGTGAGGGGCAGTGTAAATGTTTTTTCCATTCACAATAACCCCACTTTGCGACTTTTTAGGTTTACCTAAGGTCTTTACACATATAAAATATATGTAACTGTATTTGAGGCTCTTCGCATATTTTTTCAGTAATTTTTATTCAGGTATACACAAACACGTTACATAGAAAAACACCCTCCATCACAAATCCGGCATCTTTGCGCCCTGTAGTGTCCCGGGATAATGATTTTCCCGGGTTTACAGAGTTTAGGTTGGAATATGTACCAAATAAAATTAACCAACTTTGACTTACACAAATTTCTTTGAGCATGGGCACTTCCGTCATGAAAGCAAACAAAATCATTCTATTTCTGTAATATATCTTCCATTCTACAAATAGTCAAAAAAATGAGAATACTTTGACCCCACATACCATTGCCACTAACGTTAAATCCGAATACCAATACATTTTATTGCTAAAAAGCCTCGCATACCCCCTAAAAAACTCGCTTAAAGATTGGGCCGAGATGCGTCTAATTGCACCCGAGCCAGCCCCACATGTTCCACCGGGGGCATTGTTTACAAGCCCGCCCCGCGGGGAACATCCAAGCATACAATGGGAAAATTTCATATTTTTACAGCTTTTTGGGGGATTTTATCTGCAAAATAAGTGCCATGGGCCCAAAAAAGCTTTATCCAAACCCCGTGGTTTAAAAAAGGGGAAAATACTTTCGTACCACAGCACTGCTGCGCACCCATTGGGCACTGTTATGGACCATTTAGCTGTTGCTGCACCACAGCTGCGGCACCGGTCAGCTTTGCTGCACCCCAGCCTGTTGTTGTTTCTTCACCACCTCAGCTGTATTACTCGAAGATGGGGTTTGAGTTGTTGTTGGTGTGGCTTAACGTGAAACAATTTCCGGAAAAAAATTAAAACCCCCCGGGTTAGCCCCCAGGGTAAACCCCAAAAAAATCAGTGCATCATCGAGGACTGTCTAACTTTTTTCCATTGGGGTCCTTAATCTTTTCCCCCCGAATGCGACCCACAACAGTTGACTAACACCCAGGTGAACTGGAAAAAATGCCTGGAACTAGTGCTCATATTGGTGAGGTTAGTGGGGAGGATGTGGAAGAGTTGGTGGAGGAGGAAAATGAAGAACTAACCACTGATGAGCTGCTAGATCATCTTCAACAGCAAGAGGCCACACCTGAGGAAACTGCCCCGGGGGTAGGAAGGGATTGAGAAATTGAGGGTCGACAGGCCCTCTCCGAAACTCGTTCTCAGGGTCGGCCAAATTTCAAAAAAAAAAAATTATTTTTTCTTATGAAAAAATAGAGTTTTTTTTTCTAAACATTATAGGATAAACAAAAAAAATTTACCATCAATACTTACGGAGATATGGATGCATGAAGTTTGCAGAAAATGAGCCGCGTATGGCAACAGCGGCGACTGCCGCTCACCCGGTAAACTTTGATTTACTTGTATTTGAAGGTTTGTTGTTTTTTTCACTATTTTATTTTTTCACATAAACTTATGTTGGCCTATGAGACCAAAGTAAGGTGCAATGTACATATATACACTCGTTGTATACAACACAATAAGCACACAAACATAATTATCAATATATTGTTTACAAAACTTGTTTACAAAAACAAACAATACAAAACATTGTTTATTATTATTGTTCTATAATATATATACCAATATACAGTCACTGAACATATTCCTATTAGTTCTGCAGCTTGTGGAACTCTGAAACATGGTGTCATACACAATGGTGTTTTATCTTTCTCCCTCATTCTATCTCTTTCAATCTGTCTCTCTCTTTCTATCTGT